CTTTGCTGTATGGTTTGCAAATATTTGGCCCCATCCCCATTTTCTGGGTTATCTTTTCACTTTCTTGTACTGTCCTTGGATACAAAAATGTTTTAAATTTTCATGAAGCCCAACTTACCTGCTTTTTTTGTCTTGTTCAATGCCATACTTTTGTTAGGAATGGAGAAATTAAGAAATAAACCGATAATAGATAATATGAAAAAGAGTAAAGAAAATTTATTGCATGTGTAAGATATAAGGGCATTGGACTCAAAGAAGGGCAAGATAGTTGACCCTTATATACAGCTTCAAGGGGAGGGTCTTAGGCCTCTGGAATGAAAGCACATAGCCCAGTCTATGGAAAATTCTCTAAAGTAGTTCTTAGAGGGAAATTTGCAGCTGTAAACATCTGTATTAAAAGAAAGGCCTCAAGCCAATCACCTCACTTTCTATGTTAAGAAACTACAAAAAGAAAACCAAAATATACCCAAAGCAAATAAAGATAAACATAATAAAAACCACAGTGCAAGTGTATGAAATAGACACTAGGGCAGTACGACAGTGAATGAAAGAATCAGTAAAATTGACAGATGTTTAGATAGAATGACAAGAGAAACACCTGCCTCCTATGGGTGAGGCAGACAACAGAACCTGTCTCTGACAGGCTGTGACAAGACCACGCTGCTTAGGATCCCAAAAGAACAGAAGGCAAGAGGGCATGGATGGGAACCAGTTCTCTTTTTTGGAAAATGTTTCTTCGGTTAACAAATTCGTAACTGCTGGCATGAGCCAACACGTTTGATCTGCATGTTGCTGGGCCCTGGAAAAAGATGTTACAAGAAGCATTTGAGTTTCTACAAAAATGTCAGCTTCCTCTGAAATCCAAAAGAGGAAATTTAAGAAAAAAAGAAAACAGAAAGAAGAAAGAAAACCTGCATGAGTTGTGTCCCATATATTTTAGTATGCTTGGTGCTCATTTTCATTTTGAGTGTTTTCTATGTTTTGTGATATGTCCTTTCAGGCAAAGTTATTTAGTAATATATTGTTGAATTTCTACATAATTGTGATCTTATTAAATTTCTTTCTTATTGGCTTCTTATTTCATTCCTTTGTAGTTAGAGAACATATGTCGTATGATTTCATTTCTTTAAATTTATTGAGGCTTGTTTTATGGTTTAGCATATGATGTATTCTGGAAAATATTTCATGTGTACTTGTGAGGAATGTGCTTTCTTACTGTTGCTGGGTGGTGTGCTGTTTGAGTTTTGTATTTACTAGTTGATCTTTTGCCTAGTTGCTCTATTCATAATTGAAAGAGAGAGGTTGAATTCTCCAACTGTTACTGCTGAATTTTCTGTTTCTCACTTCAATTCTGTCAGATTTTGCTTCATGTAGTTTAGGAAGACATTGCCAGTTGTAAATATTTTTAATTGTTGTTATCCCTTGCTAGATTGATTCATTATATAAGGTCCTTGTTTGACTTTAGTAACAATTTTGAAGTCTGTTATGCATAGAAACTCTAAGTCTCTTTTGGATATTATTTGCATATCTTCATGAAATTTTTTATTTATGCATTTTTGTGGTACTGGGGATCGAATCCAAGGATGCTCTACCACTGAGCTGTATCCCCGGTGCCTTTTTTGTTTTTTGAGATGAGATCTCCCTAAATTTCCTGGCTTGGCCTTGAACTTGCAGTCCTGTTGCTTTATTTACCCAAATAGCTGGGATAACAGGTGTGTAGCACCATACTTGGCTTTTATTTCTGATTAACAAATAATTGTAATTTTATAGTGTACAATATGATAGTTCGATATCTTTCTCTATCCTGTTCCTGAGTTATTTTGTCTGCGAGTCTCAGGTATGTCTCTTGTAGGCAGCCTATGTAGTTGGATTATGGTTTTTTTAAAAAAACGCAGCCAGGCCTGGTGGCGCACGCCTGTAATCCCAGCACTCGGGAGGCTGAGGCAGGAGGATTGCTGCAACTTCAAGTCCAGCCTGGGTTACAAAGTGAGTTCAAGGCCAGCCTGAACTGCATAGTGAGAACCTGTCTCAAAAACACCCAAAAAAAGCTGTTTAAAAAATTCATTCAGTTAATCTTTACATTTGCATTAGAGCTTTAGTCCATTTGACTTTAATGTAATTGCTTATAAGAGGGGATATACATCTACAATTTTGCTGTTTGTTTTGTATATGCTTTCTATCTTTTAGGCTTGTCCGTGGTCCCATTACTGCCTTCTTTTATTTAAAATAGATATTGTTCCAGTAAGCAATTTTAATTTCTTTGTTATTTATAGCTTTTGGTCAATTTCTTTGTGGCCCCAATGATTAAAGTTAACACTTTATAACAATTTAGTTTAGGGCAGTGTCAACTTAATTTCCAGAGTATAATGAAATTTTATTCATGTGCAGCCATCACCAGACAGCCCACATTTTGCCTCTCTGAGGCATCTTCTTTTTAAAATAAATTTATTTATTTACTTATTTATTTATTTATTTGAGACAGGGTCTTGCTCTGTAATTCAGGCTGGCCTTGAACTAACGATGTAGCCCAGGTTGGCCTCAAACTCAAAACGATCCTCCTGCCTCAGCCTCCCAAGTGCTAGGCTTACTGGCATGTGCCACCTTGCCCGACTCAAAAGAGACTTCTTAAGGGATCCAAGAATAAGAACTCCTAGTGAAAAACGTGAAAGCTGTAAAGTCTTTTACAACCTTACCTCAGAAATAACACAGCATCACTTCTGCTGTATTCCTTTTGTAGCAGTTTCAGGTCTACCCAGATTCAGGGCAGGGGATGTAGATCTTGCCTCTTCATGGAAAGATGGGCAAATAATTTGCAGGTATGGTATAAAACTGTTATAATGGGTACAGAAATCAAGACACAGATATTGTGTCAAGGTCATTTGTTCAGTAAACACAACTCAGTGTTGACTGTAGCATTTCTTTGCTTGAAAGTAAAGGAATTGAGATAAGAATTACAGATTTCCTTCTCGCTTCGCACTTCCCTTGGTGTGTATGTGTGGGGTGGGGTAAGCACCATGCAAGCACTCATCTTAGGAAGAGGGATGCAACCATTCCCAGGAGGAAGTGTACTGCCTCCGGAGATAAGGCAGCCCAAGTATTTCCTTCCATTCCAGGCTAAGGTGAAAGGCTTCTTTTTCTTTGCTGCTCGCTATCTACTGTCCCATCTTCACAGGAAGGGAAACTAGTTGGAAAGAGATGACTAAGAAATACTATAGTATACTGTATATTTGAAAGGGTTAAACAGGACTCTTCCAAGGCCAACAGATACGGTCTGATTTTCAGAGACTACCTCAATTTTAGATTTTTTAAACCATCCTCAGTAATTTACACATTCATATTTCTGTACTCAGAGATAAAGACATTATTAAATGTAAACATTTAAAATATATGAAATGTTTTATAATATTTTTATGTCTTAAGTGCCTTAAAAAGTACAAACTTGGGTTTTCCTAGATCTCTGACAGTGTAAGGTAGAAAGTCTTGGTAGAAGCTATCCCATGCACCCATCGCTCCAGGACCTGTACATCACAAGGTTCCCCCTCTCCCCAAATCGCAGTAGATAAAATTCCAGGACTGGAGGCTGAAAAATCTGATTATTATTGCCTAGGAAAGACTAAGAGATAAATTTCCACCCCATCCCATTGCACGTGTGCCACAGAGGACTAGAAAAGAAGCTGGAGCTGGGCCTGGGCTTAAGCATGAGCTCTGATCTTTTGTGAGAATATTGTATTTAGGAGGCTAGAAGTGAGGGGCTTGCGGGAATATGGCTCGTGTGGTAATCAGGATCTGCCAGATCTGGTCCCCTTCAGAATGCCATGGAGACCGCGAGTGCAAGGGGACAAAGGGCAACGACTCTCTTCCTCCACCTAGTGGTGAACCACTTGAGACAGAGTCCCATATATTTTCCTTGTTTCCCTAAAATGCTATAGAACAGGCCCTGCTACTCCGGATGAGAGTTGCAAAAACCTTAAAGGGACTGCTAGGGGTTCTCTCTGGGCTCAGGAGGAAGAAGTAAAGGCAGCCAGGGGCTCCCCAGAAGGCGCACTCTCTGCCTGGTTGAACAGGCAAGACCTCTCCTACCTCTTTAGTCTCCTGTGTTTACTGGTAGCTTCAATGCTAACAGCTATTAACAATTTTTATATAACATTCATGGAACATACAAAAAAAGAAAGAAAAAGAAAAAGACCTCTTGCCAAGGAAAGGGAGAATACATAAGTGCAAGGGTGCACTTACGTATGGGCAGCAACCTAATCTCTGTGTCACTGCAATTCTAAAAGAATAATCCTAACGACACTAAAATAGTTGGCAGCCAAAGATGAATTCAAAATTTGTGACCACCAATGGAACTCTTATTTTATAGTCTCTAGGAAACCTACAAAATTTTAGTGAATATGTTTTTTAAAAAAATTTAAGGGCCGGGATGGGATATAGCTCAGAGGCACAAGTGCCTGCCTGGCAAGGGCAAGACCCTGAGATTGATTCCTGGTGCCACAAAAACAACAACAACAACAACAACAACAAAAACCAAACCTTAAATGAGCTTTAAAAGTAGAATTAGAATAAAACTTCTTTTCTAATCACAATGCAACAAAACCAAAAATTAAAAGGAAAATAGCAACATTGTACAGCTCATATGCCAAAGAGGAATTATAGTGAAAACTAACTTTAAAATCATCAATAAGAGCATTACAAAAATTATGAAATATTACCAAAACCATACTTAGAAGAAAATAACTAGCTTTAACTGCTTTTATCATTAAAAAGAATGACAGTACAATATATTTGGTATTTAATGAAAGCCTATACTGTGCAGGGCCTGAAACACAGATTTAATCTTTACAGTACTTATGAAGTGTGTACTGTTTCTTGCCCTTCATAGTAGATATGAGGTTAGTACTATATATGCCCTAGTTAGGTATACCCATGCAATATTATTATTATGTAATCTGTTCCCAAGAAATATTTCACATGTTTTTTCATTCAATGCCACAGATATTTATTAGTGTTTATATATACAGGGCACTGTAACAAAGAGATGAATATGAGACATTCTGTCTTGTAAAAATCTAATCATGTTTGCTCATAATATAGATGAGGGAGGCTGCAGCTATTACAATGATTGTAGCTAACTTGATGAGCTAAAATTCTCAGTATTAAATGTTAAAAACAATGCAATCAGTGTACTATGGCCGCAGACAGAAAAGTGATTCCAACTTGGAATGGGGACAGGAATCAAATGTGATGTTTGTTGTCACTGTTCAGGGAAGCATCTCTTAAGTTATTCAAACAATTACTTAATGTAAGAGAACCAGAAATAGCATACACATTTCCATTTTATTAAAATATTGTATAAATACAGAGCAGTTGGGCACATCCATTCTAAGGCACTGTTCTGGTTTGAACGCAATTCCACAAGAGAAAAGAGAAGCCACTACATTCGGTATTTTTCATCTCTACATTCAGACTCCTCTCATGTTACATGTTTATTGCTACTGGGATCCCAATTTTAACCCCAAATGTATAGCAGCATCATACAGGGACCCGGATGTCAAGAGTTAATGACACATCCTGACTCTGGCACTTGATATGGTTTGGCACTTAATTACAAACTCTCTTGCATTGTTCTCCATGTGTTCCCCAACTCTTGTTTATAACTAGAGATATTATAAACTCTTTTATGAGCCTGACCCATGAACTGTATTTCTTGACTAGCTTCTTTTAAGCCTAGCACAGGACTAGTTAGGCACATAGTAGATACTCCCAAATGCTTAGATATCAGCTGCAAGCAATTCATTGCAATAGACGAGATATACTTCCCTAGTCCTAGTTAAGGAAAGAATGACTGGATAGCTTCATAAAAGAAAAATGCTTGACTGTCCTATTTCTTGTATCTCATAACAAGGAACTAGGCTCAATAAATATTTTCACATACTAACTGATAATGAGACTTCTTCCCTTATGTGGGAATTTGAGTTATTACCAGGATTATATAAGAGTATTTATACAAGTAAAAACTGTGTATGTAATTATAAGTAAAATTCAAAAAGTATGATAATCACTGGCAACATTTATTTGCCTGAATTTGTGATCCTCACCTCCTTAAAATGGTATGTGTGTATGTATCTGTATTTGTGTGTGTTTGTATGTGTGTGTGTACTTATAGGGAAAATGAAGAGGTGGAGAATCACTGAACAATTTATAAATGAAATAAATTAGTGATCCTCAACACCCTGAAATGATATATGTGTGTATTATACAAAAGACATGTATCTTTAAAGAATTTTTATAATACCCTTAAAACAACTGGACATAACTAGCTTGGGAGCAACAGAAGTTTACTGATAGTTATAGAAATATTTGTTTAAGGCAGTATGTTCCAAGGAACATTTACAGAATAATAGTTCTGTCAGCTATTATTGGATGAACATGAAAAGGGTGTACTGGGTCCAAGGATGTTTGGAAAACATTGAGCCAAAGAGGTGCTTTCTCCTCCTTTACTAAAAGACCTCTCCCAGAGTCTCATAAGCTGGTGTGCACTATGAATCCAGGAAGGGGAAACAGCAGGAAGCAATTCAGAAACTTACTTGCAGAATATCTTGCAGAAATAAGTGTTCTATGACACATTGTTAGGAAGATAATGAATTAAAGAATGGGTAAAATTTCAAAAGCACTGAAAGACACATGAGTGAATACCAAAGAGAGTGAAAAGAGATGGATACTGGTTTCTTCAATTCAGTCAATCTCAGTTAAATAGCATCCTACTTGTACAATTTCAATAGTCAAGTGGGTTCTTTACTTTTTGTAGTAATGGGGATCAAACCCTAGGCCTTCCCCAATCTTTTTCTGATTTTTTATTTTGAGACAAGTTCTTGTAAGTCATTAATTTGCTCAGGCTGGACTTGAACATGCTATCTTCCTGCTTCAGCCTCCCAGAGTGCTGGGATCACAGGTGTGCAACATCACACCTGGCTTCAAGTGGACTATTCCAGAACTAAAGCTTAATTACCAAATTAATACTACCCTCTAAGGGCCATCACCACAGACTTCCAACTAAGCAGTCAAGCAAACTGCAAAATTCAGAAATAAAGTTTAAAATCAATTCTTAAACATAAACATTTTAATAGAAATAACCCAGTTCTCACCAGGCAAGTGATACCCCTCCATCCTTGTGTTCCTGACATAATTTTATTGTTTGACAAAATTCACTGTCTCCCTTCTTGCCACCTTGTCACATCTAAAGTTTTTAGCTCACCTTTAATAATTACACAGCAGAATATGTATGATAGTGGTACAACAGATACGTCAGATAGGCATGGTTATCCATTGTACTGATCCTACCCTGAAAGGGGCTTTCATCATTTTTATGTTTTATGTTTATACTTACAATGTGGTTGCCCTGGAACACAAAATTTTCCACTTTAATAAAAAAAAAGAGTTATGGAGACAGGATAAATCAAGTTAGGAAAGCTACTACTGTAGGTGGCTATTTTAGAGCTCATATGCCTACAGCTCATATGTCTATAGAGTTCATATGCCTAGAGCTTGGATGTCCAGAGCTCAGACAGATTTTCAAAATAGCCCCCCTACCTCTTGTAAAGAAAGGCTGAAATATATCAACACTTGGAATTCTTATGCTGTCTGCAGTTTTGAATTCTCAAAATAAAAATGCTAATAAAACCCAGTCCCCCACCCCCCAAAAGCTGTTCTCATGAGTTCAAACAAAAATGTCCTTCCAAACAAACAGGCTACTACAGGTCACAATGTTTTTGAGTTAGTGTTAGTTTTTGTAGGACCTGTTTCCCTCATCAACTCCTAAAGAAGTCCTCTAAAATGAGTGACTTGGTGCATTATAAGGCCTGCTCTCTGTCTGAAGCTTTTAGAACAATGACTACATTTGTATGGCTTTTCCCCTGTATGGATTCTTAAATGAATAACAAGGCTGGGCCTCTGCCTAAAGCTTTTTCCACAGTAATTACATTTAAAAGGTCTCTCTTCAGTATGTGTTCTCTGGTGCAAAGTAAGCGCGGTCAGTCTACTGAAACTTTTCCCACAATTATGACATCTATGAGGTTTTTCACCTGTGTGAGTTTTCAGATGTCTTTTAAGACTTGATCCATGACAAAAACTTTTCCCACATTCAAGGCATTTATATGTTTCCTCTTCGGAATGAGTTCTCTGGTGCCCAATAAGGTGTGACCGCCGCGTGAATCGCTTTTTACACACAGTACATTCATAGGGTCTCTCTCCTGTATGAAGTCGTTGGTGTCTATAAAGGTCTGAACTACGAAGGAATCTTTTTCCACATTCAGGGCATTTGTGAGGTTCCTCTCCTGAATGAATCCTCTGGTGCCCAGTAAGTTGTGACTTCCGAGCAAAACATTTTCCACACTGAGGACATCGGTGAGGTTTCTCTCCTGGATTCTTTTTCTTTGGGGGCCTAGGGTTGAGAGTTTCTTCCAGGTTGGTGCTCTCAGGTGTCTCTCTTAGAGTGGGGTTTTGATGATCCACAAGTTTTGTTAAATCTGTCTGTAAATCCTCTGGGGGTGGCTCCCACTGATTTTCTAATGGAATATAGTCTTTTTGCATAATGGGATCATGGAGAGAATTTCCCTCTAAAGTTACAATAAATGGATATATATTCTCCAGTTTTTTCTCTTTTGAAGCATCTTCTTCATTTCCTATCCCCATCTCAAAACCTGAGAAAAGAAACAAAAATTGAAGATGTTAATTGTATTCTAAGAGAAAAATAAATGAAGGAAAACCAAGAGTCATTAAACCATCATTAGCCAGAATACAGAAATTCCTAAATGGAATACCAAGCTCTTCACCTGGATTAAGGTTGAAATTTTCTGTTCTTTCTTCCCTAGCATGTCAATGAATAATTACTTACTTATCTTGGAATCAAGTAATTGTTTCATTTCTTTGGAATCCTGTAAGTCCTTCACCCATGGCTCTTCTCGATGCTCAGCCAGTGGGAAGTTCACATCAAGCTTTGGCAATGGATATCCTGGTTATAGGAAAGAAGAGAACCACAATAGTTTAGTTCATTAAAGGCTTTTCCAGAATTTAGGTTGATTTCTTGGACACAGGGCCCCTTAATATACACTTTCTCCTCAGTTACTATGATTTCATCTGGAGTCACCTATACGAGTTTTTTTTTTTAACAATAAGAGGAAAACAAAAACGAAGAAAACATCCTTTTGTGCTCACTTCAAGGCTACTCTCCAATTTATGGACTGTGACAGAATCAACTGTGTGCTGAAATCAATCTGCTAAATTACTTAGACCTCTATTCTGATAATAGATCTACTTAGCTTAGAGCTAAAATATAATGCAGATCTTCATGAAAATTTGGGGATACTAAAACTGGGAAATACAATTGAATGCTGCGTGAAGATAGAAAGGTAAAAGTAGGAGGTGGAAAACTGTTTAATGAAATAAATTCAGTTAAGATTGTGAAATTAAAATGGAAATTGAACTGGGCTGATAGCCAGGAAAAGTAGTCCTTGTTTCAGTTAATGTCCAGAAGGGGGTTTTCTTACAACTAAACCAATTGATGATCAAACTATGCTTCTAACTGTCAATCTAAGGACATGACACATAGGTAAAGTTTCTACTCCTTGTTCTCCCCCTGTGTCTCACCATGGCTCCCACCCCATCCTCACTAACAGCCACTGTGGCTGGTGTCCTGTTTTCTATGCCCCTTCTTCATCTTCCTTATCTCTGGTGAAGTGTACTGCTTTGCACTGAAATATGGATTGGAAATGACCAATTTGAGAACTAAATGTGAGGCAGTTTTTATATACTAGCATTATTAAGATAGCATGAGTAAATTAATTTAGCTAATGTTAATCCAAAGGAAAATTTAAATTTCTGAACATTGTATCAAAACATAAGAAGTGGACTAAAATATCTGTTCTTTGTTTTATGGGGTAAAGACCATATATTTCCTTTTTAAGATTAGGAAACACAAAGACAGATAGATTTCAAACAAGTGCTGTTTAAATTTTCTATTTTGTTTTTGTTTGGATGAGACTAAAGGTAATATGGAATAAGTCAAATAAAAATGAGGAACATAGATCACAGTAAAGCTGTTGTGCAGTAAAAGAGGGAGCAAATTGAAACTTAGAAGCAAATAGCAAAGGATTAGGTGTAAAATACTGACTTATAATCTAAATGTAGAGAGGACCGAGTAGATGTACTCCTAGCATAACACTGTAATGCCCTCTGCAGACCCATCTCTGGGGGACAGTGTGATCTGACCGACAACTATCACACCCCACCCTCTTGCTCCAGCTCTCCTCCCCAAGTGGCCTGGCACGACGGACCATAGTATCTCTGCCACCTCTGCAGCTGCTTCAGCATCTGCTCTCTAGGACATGCTGACAGAAGCCAAGGTTCCTCTGACAGCTATGATGTCTCTCCCTGACTCTGAACTGCTGCTACTGACTCTCTGAGGAGCAGTAGAAAATGGCCCGACAGGACAAAGATCAGCGAGGGACTGGGCCCACCGCTGATAATCCTGGAATCCCCAAATCCCAATGAGCATTGGTCAATATGACCACACCTCCTGGAGATCCCCTGAAAGCAGAGGCAGTAATGATTTTAGCCCCACCAATTCAGGGAAACATGAGAGCTGTCCATCAAGTAGCTACTTCCCATGAAGTTTGGCAGATCTGTTAGCAAAGCTGAGACTGCCCCATCGCCACTTTACGGAGATACTTGCCTTGGCCAAGCAGGTGTGAACCCATCCCAGATAATGCTGCCCTATAACCACTCTGGAGGACTCCACTATGTAACGATCAGATGACCCCACACATCCTCTTTTACTACTGCAAAAGTCCCCAAGTAAGGCTGTGAAATGCCAAAAACTATACACATATAGCCTGCTCGCCCTCTATGTAAGTGTAAGCACTCCCTTACACTTCTTGAGTCAGTTTAAGAGGGCTCCCTCCTGTGCACTAGCCCCTCTCCCACAGCACAGGTCCCAGTAAAGCCTTGCTTGAGGAGACTTATGATTCATATCTTGGTTAAAGAGGGATGAGCAGGCTGCAGTAAAAGGACTTATGATTCATATCTTGGTTAAAGAGGGATGAGCAGGCTGCAGTAAAAGGGGCTCATAACACTGGGGGCTATTAGCCCTAAACAGCTCTAGAAAACAACAGAGCAGTGAAGATCAAAGACTCGTGGGAACCAGTGGTGACTTGCAGTGAACTGTGGAGACTACGGGAGAGGCAGTGGAAGCTGTTGGAAGAGCTGGAGAAAGCAACCAAGGGGGCTATGAGCCTTGGCTTCTGAGGTGCTGAGAGGGATGGCGCGAGCCACCAAAAGCTTTAACATCAAGAACTAAGAAGTACTGAAAGCTCACAGGTATAACCCTAAAGGGTGAGGGCCACCGGCAGTCAAAGCCTGGCACTGCTAACATCAAGTAAAGTTTTCTATTTCTATCTGAATTGAGTAAAAGGACCCTCAGCCAACTGATGACAGCCTAAGGACACAAAACAAATGAAGAAAGATTTGAGAAAGTCTATTAAACTCCTTTAAGAATAATGTGAGCTTGAGGTATCTGAATCTCAGTGGCTCCCCTTATCTCACACTTGCAGTTACTTCCACAACACAGTGGTGTAGCCAAGAGTCCTGGATGCCTTCTTCCCCACAGCTACATGCAGAGGAATCTCTTCAGGGACTTTTAATAAAATATAGGCAAGTTGGTACACTTGCTTTTCGCTGAGACCCTGTTTATTTTTCACTTTTGCCTCTGTTCTTATGGTGACATAATTTGCAACAATCAGTCAAAGTTCACTAATTCTCTCTTCTGATGCTTCACATCTACCTTTGAACCACTTTAGTGATTTTTTTCATTGCAGTTTGCTACAGTTTGGGTCTACAATGTCCCTTACAGGGCCATGTGGTAAACGCTGATCTCCAGCTTGACACTACTGGGAGGTGGTAAAAACTTTAAGACGTGCGACCTAGTGAGAGGTTTTAGGTAATTAAGGGGAGGCCCTTGAAGTGGACTGTGGCACCCTTCACTTTCTCCCTTTGTCATTCAAGGTTATGAGATGAATGGCTTTGTTCCACAATGTACTCTTTACCCTGGTGTGCTGCCTGTCCATAATCCAAAACTCAAAGGGGCTTACCACTCTACCCCTCCAGAAGTGTGAGACAAAATAAAACTTTCCTTTTGTATAAATTGATTATCTCAGCTAGTTGTTATATTAATGGAAAGCTGCCTGACAGTTATTAGATTTTTCAACTCTAAAATTTCCATTTGATTTTTTCTAATTTCTGCTTATTGATATTCTTTAATGTGATACTGCCATAACATTTTTACTTTTTTATCATATCATGTTTTCCTCAAGTTCTTGCAATATGTTAATAATGGCAACTTTGAAGGCTTTGTTAAATACCTAATAAAAACTCATAAGCACATTCTATTGCCTACTTTTTTCCCCTCATAATAAGGATCATACTTTCCTGTTCAATGCATGTCTCATAATTTTCTTGGAAGCTGGACATTTTAGATAATATACTGCAGCAACTCTATGTCATCCCACCAGGATGTATTTGTTTATTTGTTTAGTAAATAGCTGGCAATTTTAGTGAAGTCTACCCTCTACAATAGTAAGTATTATTAAGCAATGCTAATCTGACAATTCTCCTGAAGCAAATCCTTGCATATGCACAGTCACCCTTGAATCATAAGTTATTTTGACCAGACAGCAGAAAAAAAATGAAAAATTAATGGCTCCAAATTCTACAGGTGTATTGAAAAACTTAATCCAATACCTAGGAAGTTCAATGAATTCCAAGCAGGATGAGTACAAAGGGATTCACAAACATATCATATTATCAAGGGGATCCATAGACATATCCTAAAAGTCACAAAAAACATAAAACCTTGAAAGTCAGGAACCAAGAAATGACTGGTCACTTACAAGTGAACCTCAGTGAAATTAAAAACTGAGTTCACATCAGAAACAATGGAGGCTAGAAGGCAGCAAGATGATATATTCAAAGTGATCAGAGAAAAATGAAAATGGTCAACCAAGAATCTTACATTCAGCAAAGCTATTTGTAAAAAATGAATATGCAATAGAGATATTCCTGAAAAATAAAACGGAGAGAAAAAATTGCTAATAGACTTGGAAGTTCCTCATTGTAAATGGAACTTGATCTTCATTTAAAAAACAGCAAAGATAAAGGTAATTATGGAATTAGGAAGGGTAGTTTAACTAAAGGCTTCCGTTTCTTCTCCTAAGGGCTTAAAAGACAAGTGCTATAACAGAAATGTAAAGCACTTGCCAATAAGAGCATAGATGAGATGGGTAACAGCAAAGCCACATGGAACTAAAGAAATAACTACTTTGGTAACTCAACTCCACAGAAACAAATAAAGAAAATTACAAATGATAAATAATGTTAATATAACAAAAGTTGGAGTAGATCTTTTATAGACGGGAAGGGGATGAAGGCCTGGAGGGAGAGGGGAGCGAGGAGAAGGGGAGGGAATTAATAAGGAGTATGATATAATATGCACATGCATCAACTCCACACGCTGAATGTATTCATTTTGATCCCAAACATATACAAATAAAAATAAATTAAAAACATAAAAAACTTTTAAATAGAAAACACAAACAAAACTATACTCTGTATGTGTGTGTGTTTCCGTTCTTAGCTTCTGTTGTTTTTTTTTTTTGTTTTTGTTTTTCTCCGGTACTGGGAACCGAACTCACGACCTTGCACTTGCCAGGCAGGCGCTTTTGCTGCTGAGCTAAATCCCCAGCCCCCCGTTCTTAGCTTCTGTAAAAGGCTTAAAATTATACAAAGTAGTAACTATAAGAATGAATTGTTATAATATTTTTGATGTACTAAATATGATAGCAATATCACAAAAAGGAAGAAATGGGTATAGAGCTATATAAAATAAATATTTCTATATCTCATTGGTATTAAATTACTATTTCTTTGAAGCTGATTTTATCTTCAGATATTCATGGAAAACCATAGATCAACAACTAAGGAAGTAAATTTAAAAGTCGCCAAAAGTCACTAAAGTAAAATGTTAGAAATATTTACTTAATGCAAAAGAAAGCAATAGAAAGGGGGAAAAGGAACAAAAAGAACATGAAACATAGAAATAGAAAGTAAAGGGGCTGGGGATTTAGCTCAGCGGCAAAAGTGTCTGCCTGGCAAGCACAAGGTCATGAGTTCGATTTCTGGTACCAGAAGAAAAGACAAAAAAAAAAAAAAAAAAAAAAAAAAAAAAAAAGAAAGTAAAATGGCAGATGTAAATCTGACCACATAAAAAATCTTTTTTTTTTG